GCTGTTTGACCTGTCTATTCCCTCTCTATTATATAAACACTTCAAACAATATTACTTTCAGAACCTTAAAAAAAACAACAATGCCCTTCTGCCCTGAACGACATGCCTGAGTAGTTTCATATTCCTCCATCTCATCCACTAACAACATAGAAGAAGAAGCCTTTATTTGTCACATATACATCACAGCACAATTAAATTATTTTTTCGCATATCCCAGCTTGTTAGGAAGTCGGGGTCAGAGCACAGGGTTAGCCACGATACTGTGCACCTGGAGCAGATAACGTTAAGGGCCTAATAGTAGCAGCTTGGCGGTGGTGTGGTTTGAATTTGAACCCCCAAGGGTCTGTTAACCCAGAGCCATTACCGTTGAGCCACCACTGCCCATTGTCTCCACTGGCATAAATCAGCTAGCTCCCATCAGAACATGTCCTTCTCCCTGGTTCACTCCAGCTCTGCTGTACGAAAGCCGCTGGTTGAAAACTCAGCAGGAAGACAAGGCCTGACACAGCATGCGCTCACCTACAGAGATCATGTCACAAAGTACAAAGAAGCACTTCAGAAAGCCAATATATACTACTACTCCACTGTCAATAGCACTGACCAGGACAACCCTATGTCAGGTCCACATTGTTTCAGAACTCCAATTCCCAGAATGCACCGCCGCCTACAAACATGGGGGAAACGGACTACAACTCCCAACTCCACACACCAGCACACTCTCAGGCTGCTGAGTACTAATGACAATCAGTTGTTGCAAATCACACACACACCACTCCTTATATAGGAACTTTGAACTTTGCAGAGTAACGCTCAGTTGTATTTACTCTGACTTATCAAGCTGTTGTTTATCTTTGCTGTTCTGTTTTGTTTTCTTTTTTTGACTTTGCTCATATCCTGTTTATTGTATTCTGGTTCTCCTTTGACATCCTGTTTATTGATCACCTGACCTTTTTGCCTGCTTTGACCATGCACCTGTCTATCGTTTTGTATTTGTTTGCTGGACTTTGTATTAATGAACTGTCTCACTGCATTTGCATCTGTCTCTGATTCTACATTGTGACACCTTGGAGCTCATTTCCCAATGATCAACAAACTGCTACAACCTTCAAACAGTTTTCCTCTGACACCTTCTCCAGAGCTCTGTGGTAATTGTTTGACAATGTTTAAGAAAGAAAAGGGACATTTTTATCAGCAGTTCCAGCAATCTTCCTTCCCTGCAAACGAGTTCCACCCTCCTCTTCTGTCACAAGCATGAAAACATGTATGCCTTCATCGTGCCAGTCTCATTACCAAGGCTGTCAATGCTTCGCTTAGTTCTGGCTCTGTTTTCATCAACTTGAAACTGGCTGCAATCACACCAGTTATTAAAAAGCTTGGACTTGACTCTGAGGAGCTCAGTAACTACAGACCAATTTCTAACCTGCCCTTTCTTGGAAAGGTACTTGAGCATACTGTGACAGCTCAGCTGAAAGATCACTTTGCCACAAATTACCTGTTTGAGGTATTACAGTCTGGGATTAGGCCAAACCACAGTACTGAAATTGCCCTCATCATGGTTACAAATTTCCTGCTGGTTGCATGAGAGACAACCAGAGGTTGCTGAATGTACTAGTTCTTCTAGGCCTCACTGTTGCTTTCAACACAGTATATATCATAAGATGCACAGAAAAAATATTTGGCCTTACTAGTACTGTCCTGTACTTGTTTAGATCATATCTCTCTTTGACAGACAAAATTTTGTTTTATTGATAGTGGAAGTCTGACTTGTTTCACTTCTCCCATGGGGTTCCTCAGGGCTCAGTTCTAGGCCCGCTGTACTTCATCATATATATGCTCCCTCTTGGCAATAAAATCAGGCGTCATTGCCTGCTTTTTCATTTCAATGCTGATGATGCTCAGATTCACATACATTCGTACCCCTCACACACTCCTCCAGCACTAATAGATTGTCTGACAGACCTAAAAACTTGGATGAATTCTTACTTTCTGAGGCATAACTGTAACAAATCTGAGGCCACACTGAAGAAAACAAGGCACTACTCATTATCTATAGCATGTTTTATTACATCCAACTCAGCTCACGTTCGAAGCCTTGGTGTTACGTTGGACTCCACTCTCTCATATCAACGACACAATAAAAACATTACTAAAACAGCTTTCTTTCACCTTAGGAACATTTCAGCAGGAGAGACACTCATCCTCACTTTTGTTACCTCCAGACTCGGTACTGCAATGCGGTTCTTTACAGACTCCCAGTGCAGGGTCTTAACAAGCTACAGTATGTGTAAAAGTCAGCTGCTAGGGTTATTACCCACACGTGACCATACTCCAAAAGTTGCATTGGCTGCCTGTTCCTTTCTGTATACAGTATAAGTCTGTATATATATGTCTTCTGGTCTTTAAGTCTGTGTACGGTCTCCGACCCACTTACTCTAGCCTCCTGCTCCCATACACACCTACACACACGATTAGAGCCTCTGGCACTCACCTGCTTGATGTCCTGTCCTCCCACCTCCACACCATAGTAGACAGGGCTTTCAGTGTTCAGTTCCCTCTCCATCTCTGGACCACTGCACCACTGTTCAACATTTTAAAACTCAACTTAAAACACATCACTTCCGCCTTGCATTTGTTCACACCCACTCTTGCTCTCAATCTTATTGTTCCCTTTATTGTTTAGTCTACTATGTTTTATGTCATAGTTTCATATACACATATGCATTTTACTCTCATTTGTATCCTCGTTGTTTACTTTTATTAGTGACTGTTATTTTCAAAATTTTTATTTTAAATATTTTTACTTACTACCATGACTGTATAATTTTTTTTCTTGTAACTGTACATTGTCTTTGAGTACCATGAAAGGTGCTTATAAATAAAATTCTTGATGATGATCATAATAATAATAATAATAATAATAATAATAATAATAATTATTATTATTATTATTATTATTATTATTATTATTGGGGCCATGGGGGCATGGGGGCCATGTGTGTGCGGACTTTGCATGTTCTCCCCGTGCTCCGGGGGTTTCCTCCGGGTACTCCGGTTTCCTCCCCCAGTCCAAAGACATGCATGGTAGGCTGATTGGTGTGTCTAAAGTGTCCGTAGAGTATGAATGGGTGTGTGAGTGTGTATGTGATTATGCCCTGTGATGGACTGGCACCCTGTCCAAGGTGTATCCCAGGTGTGCTCCCTGGGATAGGTTCCAGGTTTCACATGACACTGAAAAGGAGTAAGTGGTAGAAGGTGTATGGATGGATGGATGTATTATTATTATTATTATTATTATTAATTATTATTATTATTATTATTATTATTATTATTACTATTATTATTATTATCTGGGCGCACGGTGGCTTAGTGGTTAGCACGTTCACCTCACGGGTCCGGGGTTCAATTCCAGCCGGACCATGTGTGTGCTGAGTTTGCATGTTCTCCCCATGCTGCGGGGGTTTCCTCCAGGTACTCCGGTTTCCTCCCCCAGTCCAAAGACATGCATGGTAGGCTGATCGGCGTGTCTAAATTGTCCATAGTTTATGTGTGTGTATATGATTGTGCCCTGCGATGGACTGGCACCCTGTCCAGGGTGTACCCCGCCTTGTACCCAATGCTTCCTGGGATAGGCTCCGGGTTCCCCGCGACCCTGAAGAAGGAGTAAGCGGTAGAAAATGGATGGATGGATGGATGGATGATTATGAGCAAGATGGTGAGCATAAACATGAACAAGAGCATACTACTAGAAAGTCTTTAAATCAGGAAGTGTTCGATAAGGATGTTTTTAAACACAGAATGAAGTTTAGTAAGTAAAAACTACATTGTAAAACAGTTTTGGGTGACATTTTGGGTAACAAACTATGAATGATTGCAATTAGACTGATTTTGCATGGCGAAATGAATTTATAACAAGTTAAAACAAACTATTAAAATTGGCAAATTTAAAATAGTCTATTTTGAATGATTCATGTGTCCATTAGATGGCAGCATTGTCCTGTAAAGTGAACCCTTGTGTCCTGGTAGCGCCAGGCCAGGTACCAGCCAAATGAGACAGATGTCATGAGTAATCCATCAGTTGATCATTTTCTGTGGAACCATTTCTAGACTGTAAGAGAATAAAATATAAGTTCGAACAAATTCCTGTAGTAGAAATGTTTAGCAGTATTATTTAACAGGGTCCAGTAAGTGAATGCTTTAACAGTTATTATGTGAATGAATGTAGAGATTAGTTGTGATTTGTATAAAGTCAACAACCAGAGTAAATAGTATTTACACCAAACTGAGGAGAGGGAGAAAACAGAGTGTGGAGAAAAACCGAGGATGCAAGAAAACGTGGAAATAACTGTAGCGGCCAAGGACTTAAATCCTCGCTGGTGTGATTATTCACAGCTGGGAAGAGAGCTGGATGGAGAAGAGCTGAGTCTCGCTGAGCTGAACTAAAGAAGTTGACACCAAACAGGTGTTTCTTTGAAAACTTCAAGTTTTGCTACAAGCATAATCCTGGCATGTACACAGAGGTAAACAGAGGATGGTTTTGATCTGCATTGTGACTACTGTAATTCTCTCTTCATCTCCTCACCTCTCCCTCTCACTCATACACTTACACAGAGGTTTCTCTATCTAATTTCCAACATTCCCTTTAACACCAGCATTTTAACAAAGGTTGCCATTTATACATATTTGAGGCTGCGAAGTTAATGCTGAATGAGCAACAATGACCATGAAATCAGATCATACAAATGTTTTTATATATATATATATAAAATGATTAAATAATCAAAGTAATTAATTGCTGTATAGCTGTGACAAAGTTTAGACTGTGGTTTTGTTTCCTTCACATCTTACTCTTTATACTGACTATGTCAGGTAGTCCATGGAATCAGTGTATTATTTTGCATCACAATTTTTTGTTTTGTTTGGAGTATAACAGTCAAACAGTATATGCACACGGCTGCTGTATCAAATGTTATGATCACTTTTACATGAGTAAAAGATTTGGTTCCCTGGTGGACTAGTGGCTAGCGTGCGGCGCTCTCATCACCACGGCCCAGGTTCGATTCCAAGTCAGGGAACCAACCACAGGCATTGGAGTGTTGTACGAGATAGTGCACAATTAGTGCCAGTCCCAAGCCTGGAAATGGGCAGGGTTGCATCAGGAAGGGCATCTGGTGCAAAACTTGTGCCACAATCAACATGTGGACCTTTGATCCACTGTGTCAGGAGCAGCTGAAAGTATTTAATTATTTAAAAAGTCCATTATCAAATATGTAAATGCAATTTCTCTTAACAAGGAAAGCAGATCAAACTATTCAAGTAGGCCTTGACATAGCATTCAGCAAGCTTACAGTATCATGAGGAGCTTTATTAAAGTTCATGTTGTGTCAGTGATCACCACCATTCTGGGTCGGATTCCTCCAACCCTTATCAATAGATGACATAGTTAGGGGTGAATGGACAACTTCACCATCATTAACCTTGGTCCTGATTCAGTAAATTGCCCAGAAATTCCATCAGGTGAGTCTATGTGTCCTATTCATGAGCTGTTCTAAAATACAATGACATCTGTATTTATCACTGTGATGAAGATATATTGACTTCATAAACTCTGACACTGCCTCAAACAAGAAAGGTACACACGCATTTAACAGCTCACGAATACTTACACACATGCAATATACACATGCACACAGTCGCATCTTAATTTCTGTGCGTGAGAAGGGACATGATGGCTGGCGAGCCAGAAACACACTCAGGGACAGAGATAGAAAGAGGCAGAAGCAAAAATAAAAGCCTTGAAAAGGGCTTGAATGAATGAAAGAAAGAGAGAGACAGCGTCTCAGATAGGCAGAGTGGGTGAGAAGGGGGCCTTTGCCAGGGATTGCCATCTTGTCACTCTCTCGGCATCTAATGGAGATGATTGATTTTCCCAGTTACTCTTGTTGAAGGGAACAGCCAGTGTCAATAACAACATGGTATCAGACGCATGGCCTCTCTCACCAGGAAAGAGGTGGACTGGGAGCAGGAGACACAAATCTCACTAGGACAGAGAAATGCAGAACTGAGTCTGCCAGCATTGGATTGGTGTGTATGCGTCGTTGAGCGTAATTATTAAACCAGAGATTATGCACATTGCTGTTGCAAAGCAATGAAGGCATACTAGTATTAGGCTCTTCTACTGTGCGGAATTCTCACCTGCTTCTTAATTCGAAAGTCATCATCGTGCTCAAACATTTCAGCAGAGCAGCAGGGAAAAGACCTAGGGAAAAAAAAATCTTTAAGAGTACCGCCATGAACTGGAGCGTGTTTCATTCATTTCTATGTAATAATAATCCATGATTGGTGTAGCCTCTGTTCTCTGCATGAGAGGCACTGAGAAAGGCGGAAATTACCATGTTTCTAAAATGTGGCTGAGCACAGAAAAGGATCTCTGTAATTGAATACTTTCACCAGACAGATTTCTCATTTTCCAATTTCCTGCCAAGCATGCTGGTAATTTTGCCATTTCATCCACGATTCTGTTATTCCAGAAAGCCACACATCCTGAGACGTAGTGCGATTCTTGGGAGGTAATTGGACAGTACAGGTGCAAGGATTCATTTACATTCAGAATTTCTGCATAGCTGCACCACTCAGGCTGACTACACATATAGCATCAGAGGCACACGAAAACTATGTGCTATATGTGCTGGAAATCATATAAAGAAAGAGAACTTAATGCATTTAAAGAGAACTAATATGAATGGCTTGATAAAGTGCTTAATGCTTAATAAGCACACACACATATGCTCGCATACAGTAACCAAGCAGTGTTAAGATCTATATGATGAATAATACATTACCAATTTAACACTGTCATGGAATGTCTCATCATCAGAGGGATGCCTGAATTATAGCAGCTTCATTCTATCTGAAGATATCATATTTTCATGACCTCATGTTTGCAAGCCCATGTGCCGATTAAAGGACATTTTGGAAGATCTCTCACTTGAAAACCTTTGTTAAATATGCATTCAAAGAGGAAACAGAGAGATTTCAATCATTTCCATAAAAGACTTAAACTAGAAGGAATAATAGTAGGAAATTGTAGGCAAGAGGTTGTTCCTATAGTTGACCATCGCTTGATCGGTCAAACTTTAATTAATTTATTTTTTTAAATACTAATAATAAGCTTTATTTTATTTCGCAACTTTAGAAGAAGAAGCACAATGAAATTCTTTTCTTCTCATATCCCAGCATGTCAGGAAGTTGGGTTCCGAGCGAAGGTCAGCCATGATACAGTGCCCCCTGTAGCAGAGAGGGTTAAGAGCCTTGCTTAAGGGCCCAACAGTGGTATCTTGGCAGTTCTGGGGCTTGAACCCCCGACCTTCGGATCAGTAACCCAGAACCTTAACCGTTGAACTGTCACTTTAAAAAGCCCTCTCAAGACACCTTACATAAAAAAAAAAAAAAAAAAAAGACGCGGAAGTAAATGGCATAAAACAAAGTATATGGGCATGTATCAAAAACAGCTAATAATAAATATTTATCAAATACTGTAAATATTAATAAAAACATATATACTCTAATCATAAATGAAGACCCACAGTCTTTCTTTTTTTTTCTCCATGTGTCTGTTTTCTAATCGACCTTTTCTTAATGTTTTGTGGCTACTCCAATCTTTTTCTGGATGAAGGCCATTTTTCCTGGCCTGGGCTATTAGGGAAAAGAAGAGAATGATAAATCTTGTCACATATATAGACCCATAGGCACACGTACGTATTTCATTTTCTTTCTCTTGCCTCTCCCTTACTCTTAGCCTGTCTCTTAAAACACCACACAAGAGCCAGAAATCTGCAAAAGCCTGGACACATTCAGCAACCATATTTATTTATCTACGTAACTTTCACATATGTGTAACAGGCAAATAACACTCAGATAAATACTGTAATGTAACTGATAGCTCACTCAGGATACACAGTAGAATCCATAATTTACTACATAAGAGCATTACAGTATTATGCTCTTTAAGAGAAGAGCTATTATATTATATTATATTATATTATATTATATTATATTATATTATATTATATTATATTATATTATATTATATTATATTATATTATATTATATTATATTATATTATATTATATTATATTATAATCACTAACACTAATCAAATGTCCTGTTTTCTTCAAGCAATGTTTTTGTTTTTTTTTCCCTGTCTGGGTAATTATACCTGACCAAAGTCATTTTAAAAACATTTAGAAGACATTTGATGTTTATGGGACATCTGGATTTTAGCCAGAATTAAAGTTTTTAATGCAGCTTTTCAGGAACTTGTAAGGTGGCTTTTGGGGTCAAATCTAATACTGACTAAATGACATATCAAAGTGGATCAGATCAAGATGAAGCATGTCTGATTTATAATGGACTATTAACAGTATCTATTTATGGGCCAATTTACATCAGGTCACACTGGCCCAGAAATGGACGTATATCTGAGTCGGTACTCACTGAGGAACTAAAATAATATGGCTAAGAAATTAGAAAATAATCTCCTGAAAATGTAATCAGATTATGCATTTTACATCTTTCCTTTTATCATAAATTATTATGGCCATAACCATGTAATATGTCACCTGCTGTACTCAATTGTATCCTGCTATATTTCACAACCAGCAAAGATGTTCATATTAGGATGTTAGGCTGAAGGGATTTTTTATTTATTTATTGTATGGTGAATTCTAAACATAATTGCCCAAATCTTACACTGTGTGACTTAATTTGATCCTCCACCCTCCACCCAATAGCTCTAGACAACTCACTGCTGGAACCCCTGGAGAGTAGGCATGTTGAAATACTTACCCATCTAGACTTGCTAATGTGTGCACATACAGACACACACACACACACACACACACACACACACTACAACACAACACACACAACACACACAACACACACAAAGGCCATCTTTGTTCACCCTGCTGTGCTATGTGTCTTTTGAGATGGGCTGAAACTGCTCGTTAAAGTCTGTGACATCCATTGGGGAGATCGACCCCCTACTGATCATGGTTTGCAGCTTTTTTTCTCTCCCACAGAAAAGCAGAGCACAATCTGCCTTGTAAGAAAAAGGACTAAGAATTCCTCAGAGGACGAGATGACTTTTTGAATGAGAGAGCTTTATTAACAGTCAGGTTTTGAGCAGGCCTCCCTTGTGTTAGTTGACAGTCACAGCGGTCTTTCTCAAGAGGAGCAAGCTCAGCACTGGAGATGTTCTCACTACTATAGTCCACCAGAGCAGAGACTGAGAACCCCAGCACTGTCCCATTCCCATGCCTGCACTGCCGTTCAATCAATGCATCAATCACTAAATCAAACTGTTAACCGACATGATCAAAGCAGGGTGACTGTTAATGCAGTGCCTCGTTAGGCATCTGGCCAGATTATTATCAGGATCAATGAGGAAGGCTGTTGACCAATGCTGATTAACTCAACAGTCAACTGCTAATGAGAAACACAAAGATTGCTTCTTACATTGATTTCTATTCACCCGCTAAAAAGCAGATTTAATTCTATGGAGAAAACAGAACCAGAAAGTATGACCGCATCACCCCGATCTTATCCACACTGCATTGGCTCCCAGTAAAATTTCGCATTTGTTATAATATACTACTATTGACCTATAAAGCTCTGAATGGTCTCACACCACAGTACCTGAGTGAAACTTTGGTCTTTTATGATTCGCCACGCCTACTTTGATCAAAAGGTGCAGGCTATTTGTTGGTATCTTGAATAGTGAAGGCTACAGCAGGGAGAAGAGCTTTCTCTTACAAAGCCCTACTGTTATGGAACAGCCTTCCAATTCGGGAGCAATTCAGTGCTTATGTCCAGGATGAAAACATATTTGTTACCTCAAGCTTACCATGGACAGATTTCTTTTACACACAGTGTACAGTCTTATCCATTATGAAAGTAAGCATACCTAACAATCTCTCACTCTCGTTACCTCCCTCTCTCCTTCAGTCAAGCTGCGCATGATTTTATGGAGATGCTTGGGATCCAGACCCTTTCTGCTCTCCGGACCTGCCTG